TGATCTCGGCTCACTGCAACTTCTGCCTCCTGGGTTCAAGCGAGTCTCCTGCCTCAGCCTCCCGAATAGCTGGGACTACAGGCACCCTCCATCAGACGTGGCTAATTTTAGTATTTTTAGTAGAGACAGAGTATCACCATGTTGGCCAGTCTGGTCTCAAACTCCTGACCTCACGTGATCCGCCCACCTCAGCCTCCCAAAGTGCTGGGATTGCAGGCAGGAGCCACTTCGAGCCTCACCCAGCCATATTCACTTTTTACAGGTGAGGGAACTGTAGAGAGTAATTAAGTACTCTGTCCAAGGATAAACTAGCAAACCATAGAGCCTAGATTTAAATCAGACTTCAAAGCCTACACTCTTACTTTATTCTTCAATGTTGTTCTTTAAAATACCACAAGCACTTCAGTCCTATATCTTCTCTGGCTCACAACTAAAGCATTCATTGGATTATAATTTGTTCTTTATGGCTGTTTAACAAGACAGTTAAACTAGTACGGTACCTTGGGGTCTTGGCTTCCTGAAGATTAACATGAGGTTGGGTAGCTAGAAAAATGGCTTACAGGTGGTATTTTAGTTTCCTTAGCAACTCAGTTTTCTTAGATAATATCTAAAAAAAAATTTATGCTTTCTGTGGTAGAACAAGGTCATTCTGACCTCCTTACCTCCCTTTTAGCTGGAAATTAGGCAAATAATTTTTACAGTCTTACAAAAAAAGAGGTATTGATAACTCCACAAAGTATGGTAAGATGAATTAAACTGAAGCCTCCAGCACTTCTTTTTCTAAAATTCTATTTATTTATTTAGAGACAGTCTCGCTCTGTCACCTAGGCTGGAGTGCAATGGTGCAATCTTGGCTCACTACAACCTCTGCCTCTGGGGTTCAAGTGATTCTTGTGTCTCAGCCTCCCTATCTGGGATTATAGGCGCACGCCACCATGGCCGGATAATTTTTGTATTTTTAGTAGAGATGGGGTTTCGCCATGTTGGCCAGGCTGGTCTCAAACTCCTGACCTCAAGTGATCCTCCTGCCTTGGCCTCCCAAAGTGCTGGGATTACAGGTGTGGGCCACTGCACTTGGCCACTGCTTTAGATAACTCTAGAAAATAACTCCTCACCCTTCCAGGTTCCTTTTTGGAAAATAAATCAACGTTTGCCAATGTAACCAATCACTTTCAGTGTCAGAGTTTCTGTTTTCATATTCTCAGTCTGTACATCATTCAAGCGGTTTTAAGGAAGAGACTAAATATTTATTTTAAGTAACATGCAAAAAGGCTAAACTAGCAGCAAGAACTATTATTTCTCAGGGCTAGCGGCATGCACCTGCAGTCCCAGCTACTTGGGAGAAAGGGAGGATCCACTGAGCCCAGAAGTGCAAGACGAGCCTGGGCAACACAGGGAGACTACATCTCCAAAAACAAACAAAGTTTTTCCTGTTTTATGACAGTCACAAAAAGTTATTATTTTTCAGAATAACACACAGTTTTGACAGTTTTAGTTGTTTTATTAGAATTATCAAGCACCATATAAGCTGAGATTATGGACTCAATTTCTGAATACAGGGCAGGGAAAATCTGACATAAATGAAGAAAGCCTCAAACTTTTTCAGACCACATGTTGCAGAAAGAATTTATAGCTGTTTTATTATTCAGTTGGTTACACACTGAGTAGCTACTATGAAGAGAAGCATTATGCAAAACAGATAAATTCACAGACCCAGCATTGAATTTTACAGCATGGAACAGCCTGTACCAAGTGGTATGAGTAAATATTCTCATAAAACAGGCCAAAACATCTCTACTGGTTCCATAGCTGATTACTGATTTCCACATTACAAAGATTAGATTTTCTCAATACCTAACTCTCATTAGAGACCCGGATATTTATTATTGAGGCAGGAGAATAGCATCTGGAGGCAGGGAACTTAAGGACAATCTGTGCTGAATCAAGGAAAAACACTAAGGTTTAGGGGCAGGGAATCTGAGGCCAATTTATGCTTTTTCTTTCTTTCTTTCTTCTTTTTTTTTTTTAAGACGGGGTTTCACCATACTGGCCAGGATGGTTTCCATCTCCTGACCTCGTGATCCACCCGCCTCGGCTTCCCAAAGTGCTGGGATATGCTAACTTTCTAAAACAGAAAACATCCCTGGGGACAGAGAATCTAAGGGAACCTAAGGCTAATTAAGGCCAACTTCCTGAAGCTAAACCAAAAGGAAAACCCCATCTCCCCACAACCAAATGGCAAAGGATCAAAGGCTCTATCCCTGCAACCCTCCTGTTCCACCACTTCTCAGATTGAAGGGAAGAGTGCCTTAGATGGGCCAGGCCAAGCAGAGACCATTCGTTCATCTGTACAGGACGCTAATTCACCTCAGCCTTTAATTAGCCACATACCAAATCCTTTATCTAGATAAGGGGTAACCCATAGGAACCCCAAAAGGAGCACTTAAAACCCAGAAAACTTTGTAAGTGGGCTCTTGGGCCCCTTGCTCTGGCCCACTCTCATCCTGTTCAGTGCTTTCTCCCTTTAATAAATTCCTGCTTTCGTTGCTACGTTTCTGTTTCATTCCTTTGTTATTTTGTGCATTTTGTCCAATTATTCAAAACGCCAAGAACCTGGACAACTTACAGTCAAGGCCTTCCTACTACTAACACTACGGGAAAACACCATTACCTCCTCACATTTCAGATTTGCTCCCAATGAGGTACTTGGGCACTTGAACGCATCCTTTTAAAAGGGAGAAAGCTTTCTGATCCGTATAGTGCTTATCTGGCAGAACCTCTCTCCACCAGCCTCTGATCTCTGGCCTGATTTTCCCAGAGATCGGAGGAATCACAACTTTTGTAAACTAAGACCCAGAAAGGGCCTTTGGTTACTGTCGGTAAATGCTGGGCTAATCAAAGAATTGGTGGGCGGGTCACCACTCCAGGCTACTCCACGTAACGTTATTCATCTTAGGAGTAAGACTGGAGAAAGGTCTGGATCCCATTCGCTTATTCTGACCGACTAAATCAGCCTTGGCAGGACAAGACCAGCAAAATAACTCCGTGGATCCGTGGAGTCACCACACTGCAGGGTTAAAGGACGGCGTCGGCGGCTCTTGGCTATTAGGGACCTAGCTGATGAAGGCACCACAACCCTTATTCTTTACTCTTCCCGACTGGGGGCCGGGAAGCCAGGCCCTATCGCTCTGAGCACATCCAGAGTCCCCGGGCCCCGACTGCTGACACCGAGGCAAGATCTCACCGGGCCCACTCTGCCCAACCTCCCCGATTCTCGCTTAGCCTCGCTTCCCTTTCGGGGTGCCCTTTCGCCTGCTACCCCGAGGGGTGAGAACTCACAACCATCGCGGCGCCGGTGAAAATGTCCTCCCCCTCGGTGTCGCTGTCCCCAGCCTCAGGTTCTGATCCCCCGGCCGCCCCCTCGGACTCCGGCTCCGGGCCGGGGAAGGGCGGAGGGAGTCTTTCCGAAGCGCTACAACCACCACCACCCGACGCCATCTTCCTCCACTCGCGGCGGAAGCCGCAACAACAACTTTATCGAGAGATAGCGCCGTGAGCAAAGCGATCCAACGGTGCGAGGAGTGGGAGGGCCGCAAGGGACCGGGTGGGATCCGAGGGGCGGAGGCGCAGGGGCGGGGCCTAGGCGCTGGGTGCTGCGCGGCACCCGGCCAGTGGAGGCTGCCCTGCAAATCAGAAGCCCGGATCGCGATGCTGAGATATTAACGCGGCGGGGGGGGGGGGGGGGGGGGGGGGTGCAAAGAGGCAGAAAAGTAGGAGTTAGGGGGTGCTCAGGTTCCTAGGGCCCTTTGTGCTCTGAATAGCTTTATCTAACAGGCTTCTAAGAGTTCGTCTGAATGAAGGAATGTCACTAAAACCTTTGAAAACCTCTACGTGCCATCAATCCATGCCAAGCACAGTGCCCTCACAGAGAGTGTATAAATTATTTCGATTGAGGTCTGTGAACAAGACTGCAAGAAAGTTTCACCACTTATTCCTTGGGCAACATTCAGTTAATTCGGTAATATAGATATTGAGCATCTATTGTGTGCCTGGCACCTTAGTTTCAGATACAGAAATAAGCTCCCGGCCCACTAGGTGCTTACAACTTACTAAGGGAGAAAGTTATGTAAATCGACAATTCAACATGTTCAATGCTATGATGTGCTCTGGGAGCACAGGGAAAAGAGATAATCAACTCTGGAGAATTCATAAGGCCTAACAGAGGAAGTGAGACCTCAGTGTATTAGATGTGGCTGGAAAAATATTAGGATTATCCTCTCAATTGCTGTGGAGTAACTGGAGTGAAATAGACGGCAGGGAAATTATTAAACCCTGACCAAAATTTCCCTGGGACCTAAGCTGTTCATTGGTGATTCAAAAGCCTACATCAACTAGACATGACTGGAGTTTAAAGATAAATAGGCATGTTAGGAGGGGGCAATTCGGCAAGATAATCCTATCTTCTCAATAGAGATGGCATTTGTCACCAACTTCGACAAGAGGTTTAGTGAGTTTGTTTGTAACTGCCAATTCAGGGATGGGCTCCCTCACAGGTCAGGGGAGCTGTTTATCTTTGTATCTTCCATGCCTATGGATCACTCCTGGCAAATTAGTACCTATAACTTTGATCGGAGGGATGGGTGGATAAAACAAAATCATCGATTTTGTTACTGGCATCCATGACACCCTCGAACACCAGAGGGCTTAAGATAACACTTTTAAGGATGGCGATCTCCATTATGTCACAACTGTATGCATTAGACACAGGAAACGTTCTCCTGCTCTAAGTTGTTTTTGAAGGCCATTAACAGAAATATTCGTTCCAAGGTGGGAAGCTGTGCTGGACTGAATCCCTTAGGAGACAAGAAAGCCAAAAAGCCCTCCGCATGCCATGCCTGACTACCTTACAGGCTTCCCATGACATCCCTTTTCAGAGCAACTGACACCCACTTCCTGTCCGATCAGGAAGTAAGAAAGATTTTGGCTGTTAGCGTAGAATAACTGTAGAGTCTCCGTGCTGAAAACCTCTTCCAGCACTAGAACTCAAGATCTCCTTTCCCCTACCTCTTCGGGATTTATCTTTAGCTTATCACAGATGCTGAATGAGATAATCAGTGGCAGTTAACAGACCGTTACATTCCCTTCTGCCCGCCGGACACTACAAGTCCCAGAATACAGTTCGCTGCCTTCCAAAGAAAATAGCTCACCCATCCCAGCATGCAATGCGCTAACAAGCCGCGAAGATTTTTTTCTCGTCCCGCCGAAACAGAGCAAAGCATTCTGGGACTTGTAGCCCTTGAGACGCCTTTCCGTAGGTCCTCCAAGTTACTCCGTGTCCGGTCCCGCCTATTCTCTGCTCCCCTTAACGTTTAGGCTCGTCTCGGCCCACTTGAAGACCAGGAAGTTGATCAATCCCGTGGACGGCTGCTGAGAGACGGTGGCGCGAGTGAGACAGTCGCCAGGGATGGCTGAGCGTGAGGATGCAGCGGGTGTCTGGGCTGCTCTCCTGGACGCTGAACAGAGTCCTGTGGCTCTCGGGACTCTCTGAGCCGGGAGCTGCCCGGCAGCTCCGGATCATGGAAGAGAAAGCGCTAGAGGTTTATGGTAATTAATTTTACCCAGCACAGCATTTGGCGTTATAGGTGCCGGCGGGAGGTGGGGGGTGCGGGGATGACGGCCTCACTTGAGGGCTGGGAGGGGAGACTTGTTGTGTGTGTGTGTGTGTGTGTGTGTGTGTGTGTGTGTCTGTCATGTCCGGACGGGGTCCTAAGTCACGCGGGAGTGTGTGTGTGTTGTGTGCCACATCTTGTCCGGAGCGTAGCAAGCGCTTTCTTCGGGGTCCTAAGTCACGCGGGAGTGTGGGTCTTTTAGGAACTGGGCTCTCCGTAAACCTGGGGCAAGCAGACCCTGGAGGTCTTAAATGCTTAATTCTCCACGTGTGGCCTACGTCTTAGAGACTATTCCAAGACTTGTGGGCAGAGCACAAGTCTAGGGTGTTTGGTTAGGAAGCAAAGCTGGCCTGATTGCACTACTAGAACTTCCTCTAGCTCCTGGACACGCACTCCTGCTACCACTGAGGGCACTGGTGGGTGACAGTTGAGTTGGGGACTGGCCCAAGGTCACAGCCACTCTGGCAAAGTCAGTAAACAGAGGTCCCCAGAAGAAGAGAACAAGATTGGCTTCTTGTAGCAAGGCCTTGTATATACACTCTTCCATGTTATATATTAAATATTTTCTATTTAGCCTTTGGGTCCATCTTTATTGTACAAATGAGGAAACAAAGGCTTAACTACCTAGAGGTCACACTGTCTGTAAGGAACAGAGCAAAAACTAAAGGCTATGCCTTCTGCTTCTAAACTTGATGTACTTTCCACCACTTCACAATTGCCTTGCAACTTTTAAAAAAAATTATTTTGTATTGTTTTTGAAAACCAAAAAGACCGGATATAATATTGAGAGATCTAACTGTAGAATACAAATATAATTCAACTATGAGAGCCAGAAAATTCCTTTTCAGAAAACTCTTGTTTCCCTAAATCCCATGATGACACAACTCTATGAAAGAGAAGCTTTATCCTCTTTCTTGCCTATGTTTCCAAATTGTTTCTTTTTTTTGAGACGGTCTCTTCCATCATCCAGGCTGGAGTGCAGTGACACAGTCTTGGCTCACTGCAGCCTCAGCCTCCCGGGTTCAAGTGATTCTCCTACCTCAGCCTCCTGAGTAGCTGGGATTACAGGCACGTGCCACCACACCGGCTAATTTTTATATTTTTAGTAAAGACAGGTTTTTGCTATGTTGGCCAAGCTGGTCCCAAACTCCTGACCACAGGTGACGCACTTGTTCAGCCTGCCAAAGTGTTGGGATTACAGGCGTGAGCTACCGTCCTTGGCAAAATTCTGTTTCTAATCAAGTGACAAACACAGGAGAAAATTAAAGACAAAATAGAGTTTGTTTTTGTTTTTCCCAGTTGCATTTCTGATTGTATATAATTTTGTGTGATAAATAATAGAACAAAACTTCAGATTATAGAACCTCAAGCACATTCTATGTAAAATTCTGCTTCTTTCCTTTCTACTTCACCATTTCTCTTTTTTTTTTTTTTTTTGAGACGAAGTCTCGTGGTCGCAGCTCACTGCAACAACCTCTGCCTCCCAGGTTCAAGCAATTCTTCTGCTTCAGCCTCCCGAGTAGCTGGGACTACAGGCATGTGCAACCATGCCCAGCTAATTTTTGTATCTTTAGTAGAGATGGGGTTTCACCATGTTGGCCAGGATGGTCTCGATCTCTTGACCTCATTATCTGCCCGCCTCAGCCTCCCATCACCATTTCTCTTTATTGTTCTCTTTTCCTTTATCTCTTTCTCCAGCCTCAGAGTAAGAAGGAAATCCTATCTTCTCCAAGGCCAACCTAGACTCCTACGTAATTAATCCCATCCCCTTCTGCTTATTTACAAGTCTCCTCTCCTCCCCACTTATATATGCAATTTCTCTCCTCAAAGTTTCCTTTATCCTTGTCGTTGTTCTAGGTTCCTTATAAAGCCACTGTCCTTTCCCTGTTCCTCCCTTCCCAGCCAAGGCCCTAGGAAGACATTTTCAGTTCCCACTTGCTTCCCCTTTTGCAAGGTGGCTTCAGCCCTCCCCCTCTCTACTGAAATTGTTTTCTTACAGCTGACAGGGTGACAAATGAAAGCCCTGTTTTAGCTGTCATCAGCCTGACTTTTTCTGCAGCATTTGATAGTATTAACCATCCCTCTCTTCCCTTCTCCAGTTCTTTTTGCATTTATTTCTCATTCTGATCCCTAAATTAGGTGCTTTGCATGGATCTGTCGGGTCTGTTTTTCTTTATACCACTTATTCTCACCCTGGGTTGCACCTAAGAACAACCTGAGGAATTTTTTTTTTTTTTTTTTTTTTTTTGAGACGGAGTTTTGCTCTTGTTACCCAGACTGGAGTGTAATGGCATGATCTCGGCTCATGGCAACCTCTGCCTTCTGGGTTCAAGCAATTCTCCTGCCTCAGCCTCCCGAGTAGCTGGGACTACAGGCGCGCACCACTATGCCCAGCTAATTTTTGTATTTCTAGTAGAGACGGGTTTTCACCTTGTTGACCAGGATGGTCTCGATCTCTTGACCTCGTGATCCACCCACCTCGGCCTCCCAAAGTGCTGGGATTATAGGCGTGAGCCACCGCGCCCGGCCAACCTGAGGAATTTTTAAAACTCAAAGGCCAGCAAACCAATTAAATCAGAGTCTCTGGAATTGGGGCCCAGGCATTAGTTTCTTTCCTTCCTTCCTTCCTTCCTTCCTTCCTTCCTTCCTTCCTTCCTTCCTTCCTTCCTTCTTTCTTTTCTTTTCTTTCTCTCTCTTTCTTTCTTTCTTTCTTTCTTTCTTTCTTTCTTTCTTTCCTTTCTCTTTCTTTCTTTCTTTCCTTTCTCTTTCTTTCTTTTTTTTTGAGACAGAGTTTTTGCTTTGTTTCCCAGGCTGGAGTGCAATGGCAGAATATCAGCTCATTGTAACCTCAGCCTCCTGGGTTCAAGCGATTCTCCTGCCTCAGCCTCCCAAGTAGCTGGGATTACAGGTGCCCACCACCATGCCCAGCTACTTTTTTTTTTTTTGTATTTTTAGTAGAGACAGGGTTTCTCCATGTTGGTCAGGCTGGTCTCGAACTCCCAACCTCAGATGATCTGCCTGCCTCAGCCTCCAAAGTGCTGGGATTACAAGTGTGAGACACCATGCCTGACCTTTTTCTTTTTTTTGTGACAGAGTCTTGTTCTGTCACTCAGGCTGGAGTGCACCAGCACGATCTTGCCTCTCGCTGCAACCTCCGCCTTCTAGGCTCAAGTGATCCTCCCGAGTATTGGGGACCACTGGCCTGCACCACCCACCTGGCTAATTTTTGTGTGTATTTTTTGTATAGATGGGGTCTCACCATGTTGCCCAGGCCGGTCTTGAACTTCTGAGCTCAAGTGATCCACCTGCCTTCGCCTCCCAAAGTTTGTGGATTACGGGTGTGAGCCACTATGCCCAGCTACTTTCCTTCACTTTAAATGTCGAATATTGAAATGTTACCTGTTTTTCAAGGCTTGATTCACATTCCACTCCTATGAAGCCTGTTACCACATTCTTTCAAGCTGAAAGTTATTTCTTCCTCTTGAGCTTCCATGACACTTTTTCCATTCTTATTATATTTTCTCTGCAATGTCCAATTTGAGAAACTGGATATGGTCTTATAATAATCCAAGAAAACAGTTTTCTCACGAGGAAAGCAGTAGTGACACATTCTGTCAGAAACCTGGGAGCTGCTGTAGTATTTGCTTAATCGTAAGAGAAGTCAGTGCTTAGGCCAGGCACGGTGGCTCACTCCTGTAATCCCAGCACTTGGGAGGCTGAGGGGGTGGATCACCTGAGGTTGGGAGTTCAAGACCAGCCTGACCAACATAGAGAAACGCTTTCTCTACTAAAAATACAAAATTATCCCAGCATGGTGGCACATGCCTGTAATCCCAGCTACTCGGGAGGCTGAGGCAGGAGAATGGCTTGAACACAGGAGGCGGAGGTTTCGGTGAGCTGAGATTGCACCATTGCACTCCAGCCTGGGCAACATGAATGAAACTCCATCTCAAAAAGAGGAGTCAGTGCTTAAATTAGGCCTGGCAAAATCATCTTTATTTAGAGTAGTCATGTTTTAATAGAATATTTTATCTCTGATACCTCTTTAGATTTGATTAGAACGATCCGGGACCCAGAAAAGCCCAGTACTTTAGAAGAACTGGAAGTGGTCTCGGAAAGTTGTGTGGAAGTTCAGGAGATAAATGAAGAAGAGTATCTGGTTATTATCAGGTTCACGCCAACAGTACCTCATTGCTCTTTGGCGACTCTTATTGGTAAGTTTTTATGTACATACATGTATATTTATGTAAATTCTCAATTATTCTTGCTGATATTGACCCATAATAACAACTTGCATGATTATGGAAAAGCCACATGGTGTATGCATCACACTTTATGGTTAACAGAGTATTTTCCTGTATTCGTCTTCTATAGCCCTCACAGTTAGCTTGTGAATTAAAATATTGTTATCTTCATTTTGCCCATGAGGAAACCGAAGCTCAGAGAGTTTAAGTGACTTGCACAGAATCAGGTAGCCACGAAATGGTGAAACTCAGCCTCATACCTAGGTCTCTTGACTCCAAATCTGCTTCTCCTTTAGTTATGTCAGGCTCCCTCTCCGAGGTATACATGCCCACAATTGATGCAGAGTGCATGTGGGCCATCGCCTTTTCTCAGTGCTGGAGATTGGAGTGGGTGGTGTCAGACTAGCATTGCTGCCATCAGCATCTCCTTTCAGCTGTTCTACTGGCTTCTATGTAGTATGGGCAGAAGTTCTGGTAGGAGGCTGGATTCCTAGTATTCTGGATTTGTTAGTAGGTACAATAAATGTCTTTGAACATATGATTGTTATAAAGGGATTTTATTTCAAACCAAATGTTCATGAGTAGGGGATTGATTAAATAATCAATGTAAACAATGGAATACTATGTAGCTATAAAAAAAGAATGAAGAAGCTCTGCATTTACTGATATGGAGAGATCTCTAAGACATACTGTTAAAAAGTAAAAGTAAGGGCTAGGCGCAGTGGCTCACACCTGTAATCCCAGCACTTTGGTAGGCTAAGGCAGGCAGATCACAAGGTCAGGAGATCGAGATCATCCTGGCCAACATGGTGAAACCCCATCCCCACTAAAAATATAAAAATTAATTGGGCGTGGTGACACATGCCTGTAATCCCAGCTACCTGGGAGGCTGAGGCAGGTGAATCACTTGAACCAGGGAGTTGGAGGTTGTAGTGAGCCGAGATCACACAACCACACTCCAGCCTGGTGACAGAGTGAGACTTCGTCTCCAAAAAAAAAAATAAAAGAAGTAAAAGCAAGTGTCATTTTGCTTTTATTTGTGTAAAAAAAAGGCAAAAAAATACATTTTTATTTGATTGCATATGCCTGAATAATATTAATACATAAATGAATAGTTATAATGGTATTAGTGGTTAATAATGGTGGTGAGAGCTGAGCGGTAGCCGAGATTGTGCCATTGCACTGCAGCCTGGGCGACAGAGTGAGACTCCATCTCAAAAAAAGAAACAAAAAAAAAACCCCAAAATTAGTCTGGTGTGGTGTACTTCTATAGTCCCAGCTACTTGGGAGGCTGAGACAGGAGAATCTCTTGAACCTGGGAAGTGGAAGTTGAAGTGAGCCAAGATCACGCCACTGTACTCCAGCCTGGATGACAGAGCAAGACTCTGTCTCAAAAAATAATTAAGTAAATACAGCTGGGCATGGTGGCTCATGCCTGTAATACCAACACTTTGGGAGGCTGAGGCAGGTGGATTGCCTGAGCTCAGGAGTTCAAGACTAGCCTGGGCAACACTGTGAAACCCCGTCTCTACTAAAACACAAAAAGTTAGCCGGGCATGGCAGAATGTGCCTGTAGTCCCAGCTACTCAGGAGACTGAGGCAAGAGAATTGCTTGAACCCAGGAGATGGAGGTTACAGTGAGCCCAGAGCGCGACTGCACTCCAGCCTGGGTGACAGAGTGAGACTTCGTCTCAATAAATACATACATACATACCGACCCTGTGGCAGGCACCATCTCATTATATCTCATCTAATCCTTTTCCGTATTTGGGGATTTTTCAAAAAATTCTCTTAGAAAACCAAATGGTACTTAGAAAACCAAAAACAAGTGATTATCTTCCTAAAAGATAGGTAGTCTGGCAATTATATCTTGTGTCGCGCTGTGGTTTGAGATTTTGTTGTTGATGTGTCTTAGCATGGGATGATAAACTGAACTTCAGTGGAACTTGTTTTAAAGAAATTGCTCGATTTGTACCTTGCAGGCATAAAGGATTACAAATTTGAGAGGTTTTGTGTGGCCCTTTTCAAATGGCTTTTTCTTGGCTTTAATCTTTTGGGTGGCCTGGCCTGTTGTGGGGCATTTTAAAAAGTTTAATGAATTGACAGTACATGGTGGCTCACCCCTGTAATCCCAGGGCTTTGGGAGGCTGAGGCGGGTGGATCACTTGAGGTCAGGAGTTTGAGACCAGCCTGGCCAACATGGTGAAACCCCATCTCTACCAAAAATATAAAAAATTAACTGGCCAGGTGCAGTGGCTCACGCCTGTAATTACAGCACTTTGGGAGACCAAGGTGGGCAGATCACCTGAGCTTGGGAATTCAAGACCAGCCTGACCAACATAGAGAAACTCTGTCTCTATTAAGAATACAAAATTAGCTGGACATGGTGGCACACGCCTGTAATTACGGCTACTTGGGAGGCTGAGGCAGGAGAATTACTTGATCCCAGGAGGCAGAGGTTGCAGTGAGCCGAAATTGCACCATTGCACTCCAGCCTGGGCAACAAGAGTGAAACTCCATCTCAAAATAAATAAATAAATAACTGGTTGTGGTGATGTGTGCCTTTAAGTCCAATTACTTGGGAGGCTGAGGCAGCAGAATTGCTTGAACCGAGAGGTGGAAGTTGCAGTGAGCCGAGATTGCACCACTGTACTCCAGCCTGGGGAACAGAGTGAGACTCCATCTCAAAAAAAAAAAAAAGTTTACTGAATTAATTGACTTTTGCTGGAAGGCGAACTGATGTAGTAAAAGTGGCCTGGGCTTTCCAGTGGTCTTAGGTTCCAATCCCAATTCTGCCACTATAGTAACTCACCGACCTTGAGGAAGTTACATTGTGACCTTGGTTTAATAATGTGTAGAAGGGGGTTAGTAATAGCTCATTGGATTATCCTAAGGAATATGTAAGGTTACATATTAAATTTTTTAGTGTGGTTCCAGGCTTAAAGGAGCTCTTGTCCGGATTGAACCAAAGCTGTTTTCAGCGACTGTGTTGTTTGGGGGTGAATAAATGCAGCTGAATGCTTTTTCAAGAACCAGTAAGAAGGAATAAAGAGATAATTGGAGGTGGTTTTTTCTTCTCCCTCCACAGGGCTATGCTTAAGAGTAAAACTTCAGCGATGTTTACCATTTAAACATAAGGTAAGGAAGATGTGTTTTCATTGTCATAAAACAGCTTTGTACCCTGTCTACCTGGAGTTCCCTTCCTCCCATCTCATGTATTCACATACCACACACCACACAATTCACCTATGTAAAGTGTACCAGTTCAGTGGTTTTTGCGTGTTCATTACTCAGTTGCTTATTGGTTATTCCGTTGAAAGGCATTTAGGTGGTTTCTACTTTTTGTGTATTTTGAGTAATACGGCTATGAGCATTAATGTGTAAGGTTTTGTGTAGGCCTGTGTTTTCATTTCTTTTCCACCTGGGAGTGGAATTGCCTGGTCGTATGCTAACTCTGTGTTTAACATTTTGAGAAACTGTTTTCCACAGCCGCTGCACCATTCTGCATTCCTACCAGCAGTGTATGAGGGTTCCCATTTCTCCACATCCTTGCTAACACTCACTATCCTTGTTACAGCCATCCTAGTGGGTGTGAAGTAATATCTCATAGTGTTTTTTTGTTTGTTTTTGAGACAGAGTCTTGATCTGTCACCCAGGCCAGAGTGCAATGGCATAATCTTGGCTCAGTGCAACCTCTGCCTCCTGGGTTGAAGTGATTCTCTTGCTTCAGCCTCCCAAGTAGCTGGGATTATAGGCATGTACCACCATTCTGGCTAATTTTTTTTGTATTGTTAGTAGAGACAGGGTTTCACCATGTTGGCCAGGCTGGTCTTGAACTCTTGGCCTCAATTGATCCACCTGCCTTGGCCTCCTCAAAGTGCTGGGATTACAGGAGTGAGCCACCAAACCCTGCCATCATGGTGGTTTTGATTTGCGTTTCCCTGATGGCTAATAATGTTAAGCACCTTTTTATGTGCTTTTCGGCCATTTGTATATCTTTGGAGAGCTCTCTATTCAGATCCTTTGCTCATTTTAAAATAAGGATGTCTTATTTTTTAATTTATTTTTATTTTATTTTGGGACAGAGTCTCACTCTGTCACTAGGCTGGAGTGCAGTGGCATGATCTCAGCTTACTGCAACTTCTGCCTCTGAGGTTAAAGTGATTCTCCTGCCTCAACCTCCCGAGAAGCTGGGATCACAGGCATGTGCTACCATACCCAGCTAATTTTTGTATTTTTAGTAGATGGGGTTTCCCCATATTGCCCAGTATGATCTCGATCTCAACCTTGTGATCTCCCGGCTTGGCCTCCCAAAGTGCTGGAATTATAGGCGTGAGCCATTTTATCCAGCCCTATTTTTATTTTTATTTTTAGAGTCTCACTCTGTTGCCAGGCTGGAGTGTAGTGATGTGATCTCAGCTCACTGCAACATCCGCCTCCTGGATTTAAGTGGTTCTCCTGCCTCAGCCTCCCAAGTAGCTGGTACTGAGTGCCCACCATCACATCTGGCTAATTTTTGTATTTTTAGTAAAAACGGGGTTTCACCATGTTGGCCAGGATGATCTTGATCCTGACCTTGTTATCCACCGGCCTCGGCCTCCCAAAGTGCTGGGATTACAGGCCCGTGAGCCACCACACCTGGCCAAAAGTTTTCAATTTTGATAAAGTCTAATTTGTTTTTAATTTTTTTACTTGTTATTTCAGTGTGATATCTAAGGAATATGTTTTTAACCTTACTATTGGGCAAGAATATGGATATCACAGTTAATTCGTAGTAATTGGTTATAGCTCATGAATGATTCAGCCTTGTCCCTTACTGTCTTCTGTAATTGCCTTCTCTACCTTGCTGTTACCTAGCCTTTACACAGAGTTGCCTATCTACTTGGATTTCCCTTCCTCCCATCTCATACGTTCAAATCCTACGCATCTTTTTTGTTGGGTGTTGAGACAGGGTCTTGCTCTTTCTTCCAGGCTGGAGTTCAGTGGTGTGATCACTGCCTACTGCAGCCTCAGTCTTCCAGGGTCAAGTGATCCTCCCATCCCAGCCTCCCAACTGGCTGGGACTACAGGTGCGTCACCATGCCTGGCTAATTTTTTCTTAATTTTTGGTAGAGATGAGGTCTCTCTTTGTTGCCCAAGCTAGTCTCAAACTTCTGGGCTCAAATGATCATCTCGTCTTAGCCTTCCAAAGTGTTGGGATTATAGGCATGAACCACTGGGCCTGGCCAAATTCTACCCTTGTGTTAAGGCTTAATTAAATACGTTTTTATTTTCCATGATGTCAGTTCTGATTTCTTTCTCTTTTTTTTTTGAGACGGGGTTTCCCTCTTGTTACCCAGGCTGGAGTGCAACGGCGCGATCTCGGCTCACTGCGACCTCCGCCTCCTGGGTTCAGGCAATTCTCCTGCCTCAGCCTCTTCAGTAGCTGGGATTACAGGCATGTGCCACCGTGCCCAGATAATTTTTTGCATTTTTAGTAGAGACGGGGTTTCACCACGTTGACCAGGATGGTCTCGATCTCTTGACCTCGTGATCCACCCGCCTTGGCCTCTCAAAGTGCTGGGATTACAGGCTTGAGCCACCGTGCCTGGCCCTTCTTTCTCTTTTTTAAAATTAATTTTGATTTATCTTTTTAAATTTTTTTCTTTTTTTATCTTTATTTTTTATTTTTTGCATTTACCTTTTCATACTACCAGTCCTGATTTCTATAACAAAAGCTATTTCTTTTTTGGAATTCCCATAGCTCTTTCTTTGTCTTCTGATGTAGAGAGTTTCCTTTTCTAACTTGTGTTCTATTTATTTTTCATCTTCCCTCCTGGACTGTCAGCATTTTTTTTGTTTTTTGAGATGGAATTTTGCTCTGTCACCCAGGCTGGAGTGCAGTGGTACTGTCTTGGCTCACTGCAGCCTTTGCCTCCCAGGTTCAAGAGATTCTCTTTCCTCAGCCTCCCAAGTAGCTGGGATTACAGGTGCATCCCACCATGCCCGGCTAAATTTTTGTACTTTTAGTAGGGTTGGGGTTTTGCCATGTTGGCCAGGCTGGTCTCAAACTCCTGACCTCAAGTGATCCACCCACCTCAGCCTCCCAGAATGCTTGGATCACAGGCATGAACTACCATGCCTGATCAATTGTCAGCTTCTTGAGGTCAAAATTCATATATGATACATCTCTGTGTTCCTGCTATGATCTTATACATAGTAGGAGCTCAATAAGTATGTCTTAAATTGAGTAAATTGATGAATTATACTAGTGGTTTATGATGCCCTGTAAATTTTATTCTATTTTCCATTTTTTTTTTTTGAGACAGAGTCTCACTTTGTCACCAGGCGCCAGGCTGGAGTACAGTGGCACAATCTCGGCTCACTGCAACCTCCGCCTCCCGAATTCAAGCAATTCTCCTGCCTCAGCCTCCTGAGTAGCTGGGATTACAGGCACGCGCCATCATGCCCAGCTACTTTTTGTATTTTTAGTAGAGATGGGGTTTCACCATGTTGGCCAGGATGGTCTCGATCTCTTGACCTCGTGATCCACCCGCCTCGGCCTCCCAAAATGCTGGGATTATAGGCTTGAGCCACCGTGCCTGGCCTCTATTTTCCATTTTTAACTGTTTTAATTATAATGTTTAACTTTTTATTTGAAATGAAAATAATGAAAGCAAATAAATAAAATAGTGAAGAACAGTACAAAGAAATTCTATATATCCTTCACCCAGATTCAGATTCACTGATTGTTAACATTTTGCCACATTTGCTTTGTCATTAATTTCTCTTCATATATGTACACACACACACACACATTTTTTTGGAAACGTTTGAGTACAAATGTAATGCCCCCTTACTCTAAATACTATAGGATGTATTTCCTGAGAACAAGGACATTCTCTTACATTACCGCAGTTCAAATTTCAAAACCAGGACATTGATACAGTACTGGCATCTCATCTGCAGCATGTATTCAAATTTCCCCTGTCACCCAGTAATATCCTTCATGGCGGTCCCTCCTCCTGTCCCTACCCCTCTCCCCCATCACACATGGCATTGGTTGTCATGTCTCTTTAGTCTCGTTTAATTTGGGGTAGTTCCTTAGCCTTTGTCTTTCATAATCTTGATATTTTTGAAGAACGCAGACCAGATATTTTATAGATTGTCCTTCAAATGGAGTTTTCTGATGTTTCCCGGTTAGATTCAGGTTATGCGTTTTAGGCAAGAATACCAAATAAATGTGTCCTCATTGCATCACATCAGATGCCTATAAATTCAGTTTGTCCCATTATTGGTGACAGCTACCCTCACCAACGGTTTGGTTACCCTGAAGTATAGGTCATAGAGGAATAGCTGCGTAAGTGCTGCTTCTTCCCCTTTATCATTTTTAGAAAAATGAGTCCTGTATAATTTTAAACTGAAGTAAATCAGTATAGAGTGATTCTTTGTCTGTTGCCTTGAGGTCTAGAATAAGAGTGTTTTGCCACTAGGGGAAAGGTGTTTTTTGTTTGTTTGTTTTTTGTTTTAAATAGATTGAGGCTAGGTGCATTGGCTCATGCCTATAATTTCAGTACTTTGGGAGACCAAGATAGGCAGATCACTTGAGCTCAGGAATTTAAGCCCAGCTTGAGCAATATGGCGAAACCCTATCTGTACAAAAAAATGGAGATGGGGGTGGAGAGGGGTGGGAGTGTGGGAACTGAGGTGGGAGGATCACCTGAGCCCAGGAAGTCGAGGCTGTCATGAGCCAAGATGGTGCCATGATTTTTAACATTCCGTTTAGCTATAATAGTAAGTTACGATTTTTCTCATGAGAAATGTTTATCTCAGTAGTAAATAAGTAAATACAAATTAGTTCATATGTTTCAGTGTTCTCTGGAAAGTAGAGGTCTTTATGACAGCATGCTCTCTTTACAACAGGATTTGCAGTACTTTTGTAGGTTGTCTCTAAAGCTCTGGGTCTTGGAGGGTAGCTCGTGTGTAGGGGTGCAGCAGGGCCAGGAGGGATAGCTTAACCAGTATTATACTTGAGAATAAATTTAACAAGATAATAATGAATGAGAAAAGGAGGATGCTAAAAGCTGTGTATCATGATCCCGTTTTTGTAAAACAAGCAATGTAAAGAAACATCCAACTTTGGTATTTGTGTGTGTGTGTGTGTGTGTAAAATCTGTGTTAGATTATGTAGGTAGAGAACAGTATGGAAGAAACTACACTAGATTATTATAGTAGATTTCCGGAGTCAGTGGCAGGGCAGGAGGAAGTTTAGATACTGAGTTGGGAAGAAGTAAAGTGCAGAAGAGGGATATTCTTAAGTAAAACAATGTGTACGAGATCTCATTTATGTAAAATGGTATTTTTGTGTATTCTTTAAAAAAATTTCTACCTTGGGAAAGAATAAAAAAAAAAATTCCCAGGTGACCAAAATAAAAAAATCCTACTCATTTCAGCCCTTGTTTTAGAGAAGGATATGGAGGATTTGTCCCTAAGTCACTGTTAGAAACAGGATTGGGGGGTGCCAGGCATGTTGGCTCATGCCTGTAATCCCAACACTTTGGGAGGCTGAGGTGGATGGATTACCTGAGGTCAGGAGTTTGAACCAGTGTGGCCAACATGGTGAAACTCTATCCCTACTAAAAAAAAAAAAATGTAAAAATTAGCTGGGCGTGGTGGTGTGCGCCTGTAATTCCAGCTACTTGGGAGGATGAGGGCTGAGGAAAGAGAATCGCTTGAACCCAGGAGGTAGAGGTTGCAGTGAGCCGAGGTCGCACCGCTATACTCTATCCTGAGTGACAGAATGAGACTCCATCTCAAAAAAAAAAAGGGCCAGGCACAGTGGCTCATGCCTATAATCCCAGCACTTTGGAAGGCTAAGGTATGTGGATTATGAGGTTAGGAGATCAAGACCCTCCGGCCAGCATGGTGATACCTCATCTCTACTAAAATACAAAAAAAAATTAGCCAGGTGTGGTTGTACATGCCTATAGTCCCACCTATTCAGTAGGCTGAAGCAGGGGAATTGCTTGAACCTGGGAGGCGGAGATTGCAGTGAGCCAAGATCCTGCCATTGTGCTCCAGCTTGGTGAACACAGCAAGACTCCTGGTTTTGGACCCTCATTCCCTAGATGTTTGATTCACTGTATATTCCACTTCACTCTCTCATCTTAGAATGCTCTAACGTTTTTTCTTTGACTTTCTTTTTTCCCTTTCTAGTTGGAAATCTACATTTCTGAAGGAACGCACTCAACAGAAGAAGACAGTAAGTGAATGTTTAAACTAATGGAAAAACACTTCAGATAGTATTTTTTCTTGGATACTGGATTCTTCTACCAGCCAAGTATCTACTGGGTTACTTTCAAAAAAAGTACGCAATTAGTTATTAGCTCTTCTTTCCTAGGTAGGAAAACCTAGGCATTTCAGGGAAGTAATTTTTACAGTGGGACTCTAAGTGCATTAGAGCTCATGGATGTTGACTAGTTTAGGCCAGTGGCTACACATCTGTAAAGAATATCCAGCTCTAGGGACCTTGACTTATGAGCTCTAAGTAGGCTGCTTTTCTTTGGTGGCAGGATAAGAGAGCTGTGTACTTGAAATTGGGTCTAGCAAGTAGAGCTGTAGTGAGTCTTGTGGTAGATGCTGTCTCTCTGGGTTAGTATATTAGAATGGGGGTGGGGAAACTTTTTATATACAGAACCTCTGACCTACAGAGAGAAGTCACTGTAGTGACTTCTAATGGCCAAAGTGGGGTTTGGGAAAAGCAAAAGGCAGAATGTTCTGTATGATCCATGTGTTACCTTAAAAACAGAATTTTAATGTTTTTAATCTACAAATGATAGAGTGTAAGTAATGAGAAATACATTTAAAGGGTGTTTGTACTTGTTTCATCAGAGGAGTGGAAGAAAGAGATGATTGATAATGGAGTGAGAGAAACAGTCAGATAGATACCCAGAAGACTCAGAAAGCCATACCCAGGGCTGGAGAAAGACACACAAAATCTCCTACATAGAAGAGAGCTGTAGAGAGGGAAGCAGGGAACCCTGTTGCTTCCAGAGGAATAGCCCATCCAGGAAACTTTTTAGGTTACTGTCATGAAAACTATTAAAATCATGTCCTAGCTATAGTTTCAGGCATGTAGATTATTATACTCTTTGTGGGCTAAATTTCTTTTCTTTTTTTTGAGACCAAGTCTTGCTCTGTTGCCCAGGCTGGAGTGCACTGACATGATGTCACCTCATTGCAACTGCAACCTCCACCTTCTGGGTTCAAGCAATTCTCCTGCCTTAGCCTCCCAAGTAGCTGGGACTACAGGCATGCACCACCACATCCAGCTAATTTTTGTATTTTTAGTTGAGATGGGGTTTCACCCGTGTTGGCCAGGCTGGTCTCGAACTCCTGACCTCGTGATCCGCCCACCTCAGCCTCCCAAAGTGCTGGGATTACAGGCATGGACCACCACACAATGGGCTAAATTTCTTTAAACCCCATGTGCTGAGGGCTTCTACCTCTGATTAAAAAAATAAGAGTTTAGGTACCCTAAATCCACTCAGGCTATCCTTTTGAAATTCCTCAAATGATAGGTTTTTACAACAGCAATAGTATTAAGTCTTATGATTCTTGTTTTTCGTTTAGTAAATATTTACTAAGAGCCTTCTATGTGAGGGTACAGTTCAACTTTTGAGATGTATTCCTGCCTTTGTGGAGCCTACATTGTAGTAAGAAGAAACTGAATTGAAATTATTTACACAGGAATATGTGTATGTGTGTTTGTCTTCTATATGAGACATTTTAGCAGCATCCCAGAAAAGTCAATCCACATTAAGAATATGGATGTCTCTCTTTTGAACTCTTCTGTTAAGAGTGCTGTTAGCTAATTGTAGAAAACATAATGGATCAATACCTTTATTATATGAAGATTCATTCAAACTAACTTTTAAAAAAGATCTGGTAGATTAATAGAAAGAAACATGAACAGGAAATTCATGCAAGAACTAATATATACACATTGAAAATGTTCTGTTTTCCTATTAGACAAGGAAATGCAAATTATAGCAATAATATTGAACCATTTACCACCTCCTATTTTATGTATGTTTATATGCATATTAGTTTTTATTAAATAATAGCAGCTATTGCCTGGGCATGGTGGTTCACACCTATAACCCTAGCACTTTGGGAGGCCAACGCAAGAGAATGCCTTGAGGCCAGGAGTTTGAGGCTGGGATTTCAAGACTAGCCTGGACAACATAGTGAGACCCTGTCTCTACAAAAAAATTTGAAAATTAGCCAGGTGTGATGGCTCATGCCTGTGGGAGGCTGAGGCAGGAGGATTTCTTGAGCCCAGGAGTTGGAGGTTACAGGGAGCTATGATTGTACCACTGTCTCAAAGAAGAATAATAGTAATAGCAGGTATTGCTGCCAAACTGATAGCTCATGTATTGATGTTGACAATGTAAATTGGTGAGTAATTTTGGGAAGTAAATCAATGATATAAATCAAACCATAAAAATATTCATATTCTTGGGCAGGCCATGGTGGCTTACGTCTGTAGTCCCAGCACTTCGGGAGGCCAAGGCAGGTGAATCAAGAGGTCAGGAGTTTGAGACCCGCCTGGTCAATATGGTGAAACCTCGTCTCTACTAAAAAATACAAAAATTAGCTGGGTGTGGTGGTGTGTGCCTGTGGTTCCAGCTACTCAGGAGGCTGAAGCAGGAGAATCACTTGAACCTGGGAGGTGGAGGTTATAGTGAGCTGAGATCGTGCCACTGCACTCCAGCCTAGGCAACAGAGTGAGACTCCATCTAAAAAAAAAAAAAAAAAAAAAAAAAAAATCCCATTTTTGAGAATATTTCCAAAAAGAAGGCTATATGTTTAAAGGTGTTCATCGTAGCATAGTCTTCATAATTAGTTTAGAACACTTAAGACTTTTACCATGTTAAATAACCCTGTAGATTAAAATATAGGCTTATGGGGAAAAAAACCAGCAATTTTCAAAATTGTATTTACTCTGAATGTAACTGTATAAAGATATGTATATGGACAAAGACTAGAAAGAAAAAAATAGATGTGGTAAGTAGTAGAATTATAGTGTCTACTATAATTTTTCTCTTAAATCTGCCTTCTAGGTGAGAAATTATATTATGAGTATAATTATGAGTATAATTAGCCAAAAATGACTTCAAGTTCTCAAGCAGTTCAGTTTTTTGTTTCAGCAGGCTAATAAAAAATACTGTCTGGCACTGTATGTTGACACAGTTCTTCTGCTAACTTTTGTCTGTGTATTTTTCAGTCAATAAGCAGATAAATGACAAAGAACGAGTGGCAGCTGCAATGGAAAACCCCAATTTACGGGAAATTGTGGAACAGTGTGTCCTTGAACCTGACTGATGGCTGCTTTAAGAGCCACTGGCCTGTAACTGTTAGATATATTTGTTTAAACTCTTTGTATAATGTCAAAGACTCTTGTTTAATACATAGGTGATATGGTACCTCAGAGCATTTTTTTAAAGGATTCTTTCCAATAGAGATTTAATTCTAAGGTAGTACCTAATTTGTTCAGTGTATAACATTCTCAGGATTTGTAACACTTAAATGATTAGACAGAATAATATTTTCTAGTTATTACGTGTAAGATGAGTTGCTATTTTTCTGATGCTCAGTCTGATACAACTGCTTTTCATGTCAAATATCTACTGTGCCCAAATGTACTCAATTTAAATCATTACTCTGTAAAATAAACAAGCAGATGATTCTTATAATGACTCACTGTTTTTATTGAATTGTAAATTCCATGTAAATGTCAACTCCTGAAAGATACCTTAAAGCTTTATTTTTGCTGATTATTTTGTAGAATCAGAGATCTGAGAACCAAAAGACATCCTTAAGATTGGGCCTACCTTCCTTCCAAGGACAATCCTGGACCCCTTCATAGATAAGGAACAAATGTGGAGAGGGCCAGATGGCATACACAATTTTGAAGATCAAGAAGTCCACCAAAGAGGTTTTGATTAAACCAACCTAAATGTATGGTCTTTATTTGTAGTTCATTTGGTTTGTTTTAGGGGTTAATGGTCATGTGAAGTACAGTAGCCTCCAACATGGGCCCCTCACTTCCTGGTATTCATGCCCTTCTAGAATTACCTTCCATATTGAATTAAAGCCAATGGATGTGATTAATACAGAATGGCAGAAGTGACTGTAGGTGACTTCTGAGGCTAGATCTTAAAAGGTATTGCTGCTTTCACCTTAGTCTCTTGGATTGCTCATTCTATGGGGATCCAGCCACTATGTCACGAGAACTCAAGCCACCCTGTAGAGAATTCCACATGGAGTGCAACTGAGGCCTCCAAACAATAACCAGTGCCAATTTGCAAACCATGTGAGTAAACTCCTGAGCCAGAACTGCCTAGCTTCCAAATTCTGGATTCGGGCACTTTCTTGGGTGCTGAGGACACAGAGATAAATCAGCCATTGTTTGTCCTCCTGGAGTTCATACTTAGCAACTTACACCTCAGCTGCTCTCTGCTCCAGGCAGTGAGTGATTGAGGCTGTCTTACCTGGTGCCTGAGCTAGTCCTGGCCAAGTAGAAACAGAAGCCAGGCAGCAGGACCAAAGACAAAACTCTGCCTTAGGACCTGTCTGGTGAGGGCGCTACTGACGTGCAATTCCAAGTGGATCATTGTTAGAGGAGTCACCTGAATTGCTGGCCATGCTGCTCCTGTAAGCTAGATGTGTCTTCTGTTTTCTCCACTACTACCAGAATGATTTCTCTTTTTTGTGTGACTCACTCCAGCTTCCTAGTCCTAGGTGAGATCTCTAGTCGGCTGATCTCAAGTCACATGTCCATGTCCTGGCTGCCAAGAAGGCAGGAGAAAAGATAACGTGACCTTTGATGTGGGGAGGTGGACTCTGTCCCCCAGCAAGACTCACATGGTAGGAATTCTATAACAGAGTGAGAGGGTTAAAAAAACTAATGACTACTACATGAATTATCTTAGAATGAATTTGGCCTGGTGCTCATGCCTTTAATTCCAGCACTTCGGGAGGCCAAGGCAGGTGGATCATGAGGTCAGGAGATCAAGATCATCCTGGCCAACATCGTGAAACCCCGTCTCTACTAAAAATACAAAAATGAGTCGGTTGTGGTGGTGCACACGTGTATTCCCAGTACTTGGGAGGCTGAGGTAGGAGAATTGCTTGAACACAGGAGGCAGAGATTGCAGTGAGCCAAGGTCATGCCACTGCATTCCAGCCTGGTGACAGAGCAAGATTCCATCTCAAAAAAAAAAAAAAATTTAACTTTATTAATCATAATAACATCTACATAGAAGTGAATAATAGAGGTACATATATAGTCACAAGATGTGTTATCTAGTCCATCTTTGGCAAGGTTAGTACACATTTTTGGAAAAGGGCCACATGGGCAATATTTTAGGCTTTTCAAGCCATATGCTCTGTTGTAACTATTCAACTCTGCCCTCATAGCACAAAAGCAGCTGACGGTCTGTAAACCAATAAGCGCGATTTCACTCCAAGAAAACTTTGGACACAGGTTTGAGTTTCATATAATTTTCATGTGTCATGATTGTTTCAACCATTTAAAAATATAAAAACCTTAGCTTGTGGGTTGTACAAAATCCAGCATTGAACTAGATTTGGCCTGTGTGCCGTTAGTAAACTCCTGATTTATAAGAATGATCATTCTTTGTGGAAAGTCGGACCAGTTGGAAAATCAGATAAAAGATGTGGAATGGGAGGTCCCTAGGGGGAAAAAGGCACTCACATGAAACTTTGTATATGACTTCAGGACATTCACAGACTTGCTTAGGAGCCAGTGGAGCCTAGGTTAATAACTCTGCTTTACAAGTAGTGCTGGCTAAACACTGGGCTTCCCCCTCCCTCAGTAACCCCCCCGAGTCCTGAGGGTTCACAGCTTTGGCTGGGACTATAGGGGCAGAAGGAAGTGATACCTTTCCTCACCCATTATAAAGGTCATGGCCAGCACCCCTATGAAAAAAGATAGGATAACAAGAGAAAAGCATAACAAATGTAGTCAATCCAAGTTTTATGTGACTCAGCAGGCTTCAGATGAAGAATCCAGAGACCCAGGGAAAACTATTTTTCTGCTTAGGTGCCACCGCATTCCAGCTTGGGTGACAGAGTGAGATCGTGTCTCAAAAAAAAAAAAAAAAAAAGACTGGTCAACTGTACAGAAATGTGATTGGACAAAAAGTACGATCTGATGGTAATGGACGAAGTGGGGAAACCCAGCAAGGCCTGTCCAGATTCTTCCTGGCCTTTCTGTGTAGCATTCCTTCTTCCTGGGTATGGAGCAGAACCCCTCTGGAATGAGAGTCTTATGACCTACTGTTAGATAAGGTAGGTCAGATAATTTCTTTATGGCCAGCTCATGCACAGAAGGGCGGGGGAAAGTCAGAGTACTATTTCTAGGTTTTATAGCTTGCTTTTTTGTTGTTACTGTTTTTGTTTTTGAGACGGTCTCGCTGTTGCCAAGGCTGGAGTGTGATGGTGCAATCATGGCTCACAGCAGCCTCAACCTCCCAGGCTCAAGTGATCCTCCCACTCCAGCCTCCCAAGTAGCTGGGACCACAGGTGCATGCCACCATGCCCAGCTAATTTTGTTGTTGTTACTTTTTTTTGTAGAGATGGGATTTTGCCATGTTTCCCAGACTGGTATGGCTTGCTTTGGAAAGAGGTTCTGGTTTCTACTACCTCCCTTGGGGAAAAGAAATTCCATTTTCTGTGACTCCCTTTGGAGGAGAAAGGGGCAGGAGACAGGAGGGCAGGATACGGTCAGAGAGAGTCTTTGCTTCTGAGGCTGCTTCTGAGGCTTCCTATTTTCCTTTAATTCACAGCATGCCAAGGAGCCATATTTTGGGTTATTGCTTTCTGATCCCCAGTAGGAGCCACTACCTTCTTGTTTTTCTTTTTTTGAGACAGGGTCTCTCTCTGTCACCCCAGCTGGAGTGCAAGGCATGATCAGGGCTCACTGCAAGTCTCAAACTACTGGGCTCAAGCAATTGTCCCACCTCAGCCTCCCAGGAAGCTGGGACTACAGACAAGAGCTACCATGCCCAGCTAATTATTTATCCACTACTTTCTTAAACCATAACAAATAATCAAGAAGTTTTCCCAGCTCCTATGAACCAACTGCTTTGCTACCCAAACTGCAGATGTGTCCAGCAGGACACAATTAACTGCAGTTAGTAGGGGCAGGATTGCTATAAAAGTCTCAGTGCATTCATATCCCACGTGGTTTTCCGCATGTGTTAATAACAATGGTAGAAAACAAGCCAGTGAACTGTCAGGGTTCAAACTTGTTACCCATGCACCACTACTATGAAAACTCTTTTTTTTTTTTTTTTTTTTGAGACAGTCACTCTGTCACCCAGGCTGGAGTGCAGTGGCACGATCACGGCTCTATCTGCCAGCCTCAATCTATCCACCCACCTCAGCCTCCTGAGTAGCTGGGACTACACATTTATGCTACCAAAGCTAACTGATTTTTAAATTTCTTGTAGAGATGAGGTCTCACCAGGGGGTCTCAAACTCCTGGGCTCAAGTGATCATCCCACTTTGGTCTTCCAAAGTGCTGGGATTAAAGGCATGAGTCAGCTGGGCACTGTGGCTCACGCACTTTGTAATCTCAGCACTTTGGAAGTCCCAGGCAGGCAGATCACAAGGTCAGGAGTTTGAGACCAGCCTGGCCAATACGGTGAAACCCCATCTCTACTAAAAATACAGACATTAGCCAGGTGTGGTGGTGGGCGCCTGTAGTCCAAGCTACTTGGTAGACTAAGATAGAGAATTGCTTAAATCCAGAAAGTGGAGGCTGTAGTGAGCCGAGATCATGCCACTGCACTCCAGCCTGGACAACAGGGCAATACTCTATCTGGAAAAAAAAAAAAAGACATGAATCACTGTACCCAGCCACATTATTTCTGACATCTTTTTGTATATATGAAATATTTTACAAGTAAAGATTTTTCCCAAACATTCCATTGGATTTAGCCTGAGCTGGTGGTTGTCCATGACTGCGGTTAGACTGCCTATAGGGCATGGGTGAACCCAGTTCTGGTATGGGCTTATTTGGGGCAGATGTACTGGATGTGGGGAGGATGTTGCTATATGGGCTGTGAGGTTCTCTCCAAGTACCCCACACAGACCGTGGATCCTCCTCACAAAGGATGTGGTCGAGTACCCGACTCTGGTGCCAAACTCCCATTTTGTTCTAATCCACTACTCAGTCAGTAGCTGCGTGACTTGGGGCAAGTTAGCTAGCCTCCCTGTATTTTAGTTACCTCATTTGTAAAACGGGGGTGATAAAATTACCTATTTCATGGGGCCCTTACGAGGATAAAAAAGGGAATGCTTGTTCAGTGCTGAGCACAATGCGTAGAACCTAGTTAATGCTTTATTAGGTTTTTTCTTTGTTTGCTTCTTAAGCAGAACACCTGTTTTTTGTTTGTTTGTTTGTTTGTTTTGAGACGGAGTTTCACTCTCGCCAGGCGCCAGGCTGGAGTGCAGTGGCCCAATCTCAGCTCACTGCAACCTCCGCCTCCCGGGTTCAAGCAATTCTCCTGCCTCAACCACCTGAGTAGCTGGGACTACAGGCGCGCACCACCACGTCCAGCTAATTTTTGTATTTTTAGTAGAGACAGGGTTTCACCATGTTGGCCAGGATGGTCTCGATCTCTTGACCTTGTTATCCACCCACCTCGGCCTCCCAAAGTGCTGGGATTACAGGCGTGAACCACCGCGCCCCGCAATTTTTTTTTCCGATGGACTTTCGCTCTTGTTGCCCAGGCTGGAGCGCAATGGTGTGATCTCACACCTGTAATCCCAACATTTTGGGAAGCCAAGGTGGGCGGTTGGCTTGAACTCCAGCGTTTGAGACCAGCCTAGGCAACATAGCAGGACCCCATCTCTACAAAAAAAGAATTAACAGGGTGTGGTGGTGCACCCCTGTAGTTCCAGCTACGTGGGGGGCTAAAGTGGGAAGATTGCTTGAGCCCAGGATATTGAGACTGCAGTGAACCCTGAACTCCCGCCTGGGTGACGGAGCGAGACCCGGGTGTTCCCGGGTAGGGGAGAACAGAGGAAAGGGCCTATTTGTGCTAACTCGGAGAGTTTTTCTCTGGTGTGGGTGCAGTTACCTGGGAGAACACCAGATGGCAGCAAAACATTATTCCTTAGTGGTAGAGCACAGCCCACTTTGCATCAGCCGCCCTCGGATTTCCCAAGGGACCTGCAAAGGGCCTTGAGGGCACACTCACTACCCCTCTAACCAGGCTGCGCTAAACGGTACCAAACCACCGCTGATTCATTGTGGTCTGCGCCCTTGTTCTGACCAGAGTGATTATCACTGAAGACTTTTTTTTTTTGAGACGGACTCTTGCTCTGTGGCTCAGGCTGGAGTGCAGTGGCACAATTTCAGCTCACTGCAACCTCCATCTTCCAGGTTCAAGTGATTCTCCTGCCTCAGCCTCCTAAATACCTGGGCACAGGTGCATACCACCACATCTGACAAATTTTTGTATTTTTAGTAGCGACGGGGTTTTACCATGTTGGCCAGACTGGTCCTGAGCTCCTGATCTCAAGTAATCCATTGGCCTTGGCCTCCCAAAGTGCTGGGATTACAGGCGTGAGCCACCAGGCCTGGCCAATCACTGAAGACGTTCTTCGATGTGGAACTACTTTGCCAAAGATTATGAGTGATTTTGAGGCTTTGATACATATTGTTGAATTGGCCTCTGGAGAAATTGTGCGGATTGATACCAAACCGAGAGTGGGATGGGTGTCCCTGCCCTGCACTAATATTGGGTATTGTTATTTTTAAAAATATTTGCCAAGGTGGAGGATTTTAAAAAGATTTTTCATTAGCATCTGTTTGCAAGGTTAAACATGTAAAAAATATTTCTTTTCTTTTTTTCCTTTTTTTTTGAGATAAGAGTCTTGCTCTGTCATCCAGGCTGGAGTACAGTGGTGCTGTCATACTCACTGTAGTTTCAAACGTCTAGGCTCAAGCAATCCTCCTGCCTCAGCCTCCCAAAGCGCTGGGATAACAGTTGTGAGCTTGAACCCAGGAGGCGGAGGTTGCAGTGAGCTAAGATCACGCCTCTGCATTCCAGCCAGGTCGATGGAGTGAGACTCTGTCTCAAAAACAAACAAAAAAACACCTCTTGTGGTAGATGTGTTTTTTTGTTTTGTTTTGTTTTTGGAGACGGAGTCTTACTCTTTCGCCAGGTTGGAGTGCAGTGGCACGATTTCGGTTCACTGCAACCTCCATCTCCTGGATTCAAGCAATTCCCCTGCCTCAGCCTCCTGAATAGCTGGGACTACAGGCACGTACCACGACACCCGGCTAATTTTCTGTATTTTAGTAGAGATGGGGTTTCACCATGGCCAGGATGGTCTTGATCTCCTGACCTCATGATCTACCTGCCTCAGCCTCCCAAAGTGCTGGGATTACAGGCGTGAGCCACCATGCCCAGCGGTATATGTGTCTTTTATAAAACCACTTAAAAATATATATATTTACACACACAAGAATTTAAAAAAAAATATATATATATATATAAATATATAAATACATATGAAGTCTCACTCTGTCACCAGGTGGGAGTGCAGTGACGTGATCTTGGCTCACAGCAACCTACACCTCCTGGGTTCAAGCAATTCTCCTGCCTCAGCCTCCCAAGTACCTGGGACTACAGGCGTGCGCCACCATGCCTAGCTAATTTTTGTATTTTTAGTAGAGATGGGGTTTCACCGTGTTGGCCAGGATGGTCTCAATCTCTTGACCTTGTGATCCACCCACCTCAGCCTCCCAAAGTGCTGGGATTACAGGCATGTGCCACAGCGCCCGGCCTTAGAAGTATATTTTTAAGGTGGGAAATACAATGTATTTTCCCTCTTGGGAAAGTTTCCCTTGATTCTATAAACTCCTGGGGTCTGGTGCTGTAGCCCACTGCTCACACTCTTGGCTATCTCAGATGCGTTTTCTATTTCATGTCCCCTCAGACATGATGTTTGTGTGGTGTTTGCATAATGGCCTTCCAACATTTCTTGTTGAATTCTTTCAGGCTTATCTTGATCATAACGAGTGAATCTGCCACTATGCAAGGCTTCAGCCTTTAGCATTTCACATGAGTAATATCCACTGAGCTAGGGGTTGAGAAGCCTGACTTTTAATCTTGGCTCTGCCCCAGACAAGTGTGAACTTGGCTAAGTCACTCTTGCTCTGGGGGCCTCCTTCTGTCTTCTATAAAGTGAATGTGTTAGGTGATCTCTAAAGTTCCTTCTGGTTTTGAATGTCTAACTATAGAAGCCACGGTGACACGTTGGCTTTCTAGGAGTTCCAAGGAATCATTAGCATCATTAACAACAAACGGGTTTAATACTGAGCTTGCTCTACAATTGCTAATCCACTGATTCATGCAGAATTGAAAATGATCATGACCTTTTACCAAAACCTATTAGCTTAATAAATCTGTGGTTTTTTTTTTTTTTTTGAGACAGGCTCGCACTGTCACCCGGGCTGGAGTGCAGTGGTGCGATCTCGGCTCACTGTCACTGCAACTTCTGCCTTCCATGTTCGAGGGATTTTCCTGCCTCAGCCTCCTGAGTAGCTAGGATTACAGACGCCTGCCACCATGCCCAGATAATTTTTTTGTATTTTTAGTAGAGATGGGGTTTCACCATGTTGGCCAGGCTGGTCTCAAACTCCTGACCTCGTGATTCACTTGCCTCAGCCTCCCAAAGTGCTGGGATTATAGGCATGAGCCACCCTGACCAGCCTGCTTTTTGTTTTTTAACGAGTGTTAGGGTTCCTAGATTGTTTTTGTTGTTGTGATTAAGCAAATTTTAGCTAAACTGGGTCCTATCAACTGAGTTTCCTTGTAGCTGGATTCCTCAGGCTGTCACATCTGTGGTTTTTGTTCGTTTGTTTGTTTTTTTGGCTACATTAAGCTGAGTCTATTCAGATGAGTCAGAATGTAAAGTGAATATGTGTACAAAGCTCGACTGCCTTGCTGGGTGAAACTTACCACATTGCAGAGCCTTGTGAGACCTACATTACTCCCACTGAAAAACATAGCTACCATCAGCAACAATGAGGGCTAAATTTGTGTTAATCTAATCCTACAACTTCATTTTACAGGTAAGAACACTGAGGCCAGGAGAAGTTGAGTGACCTGTCGATACTCACACAACATGGGAGAATCAGAGCCCATGGCATCAGAACCTGTGAGCTTGGGAGATATCAGAAGAGGCCTGATTTGCAGTTAAGCATTTGCCAAAGATCAGCGGCATGATTTAGGCAAGTCATTTTCCCGGTTGATTCAAGTGAATTAACAGAACAAAACACAAATTTTCTAGGTTCCTTATCTATTTTGTGGATTGAAAATAGGGTCTAGGTAAATTGGCAGACATAGAACTTCCTGGTGAAATAAATGTGACACAGCTGGATACAAAAATCAAGATACGATTTTACTCATTTTGTCATTTTTATCATTTTCTGAGGGATATTTACAGCTTAATGTGTCTTCACAGTAGTGATGTTTGAAGTGGCAATTATTTTCCTCTTAGGAAGATTTTGCAAAAGAATACATTACCCTTTACTAAGTGCTGTTGTTGAGCAGAAGTGAAGCTGAGGAAACCTGCATGAGCTCTAAGGACCTCAGCACTCACTAATAGGTCTAAAAACTTAATGAGCACTAATGGGCATGAAAGGCAACGCTTATTAATTTTTTTCTGGAATGAAGAGAACTCCATGAATATAAGCTTACTATCATCAGAGCAGCTTCTGGTGTAGATATTTTGTGTTTTATTTTTATTTTTATTTTTTTTGAGACGGAGTTTTGCTTTTGTTACCCAGGCTGGAGTGCAATGGCGCGATCTCGGCTCACCTCAACCTCTGCCTCCTGGGTTCAGGCAATTCTCCTGCCTCAGCCTCCTGAGTAGCTGGGATTACAGGCACAGGCCACCGTGCCCAGCTAATTTTTTGTATTTTTAGTAGACACGGGATTTCACCATGTTGACTAGGATGGTCTCGATCTCTTGACCTCGTGATCCATCCACCTCAGCCTCCCAAAGTGCTGGGATTACAGGTGTGAGCCACCGTGCCTGGCCCGATATTTTGTGTCTTAAATTAACCTAGTCTTCTTTAATCATAGAAGTAATGTAGAAATATGACAAAACCAAAAAAGTTCCAAAAGTATAAGATGAAAATCAGAAGTATCCCTTTTGGCCCAACCCAGTGATACTCACTTCTGTGGTCTCAATGTTTATGGACCCTCCAAATTTATATGTTGAAATCCTGATCCCTAAAGTGATGATATTAGGGGTGTGAACCTATTAGAGTGTTAGGAGGTGGGTGTTGATTAGGTCATGAGAGCAGAGCACACCCCCTCTTCCCATCCCTTGTTTTCTTTCTTCTTTTTGAGACAGCGTCTCACTCTGCCTCCTAGGCCAGAGTGCAGTAGCACAATCAGGTCAATGAAATCTCAAACTCCTGGGCTCAAGCAATCCTCCAGCCTCAGCCTCTCAAGTAGCCAGGGCTATAGGTACACACCACTATGCCCAGCTAATTTTAATTTTTTGGTAGAAAGGGTCTTGCTATTGCTGCCCAGACTGGTCTCAAATTTCTGGCCTCAAGCAATCCTCCCACCTTAGGCTCCCAAAGCTCTGGGCTAATAGACATGAGCCACTATGCCTGTCCCAGAGCCTTTTTAAAAGATTAGTGCCCTCATAAAAGAGGCCTGGGACAGCTGCCTTGCCCCTTCCATCACGTGAAGACACAGTGAGAAGGCTCCATCTATGAGCCAGAGAGTTGGCCCTCACCAGACCATTTTGCCAGTGCCTCAACTAGTCCTTTTCAACTTCTGGAACTATAAGAAATAAATTTCTGTTGTTTATAAACTACTCCGTTTACAGTATTTTGTTATAGGAGCCCAAATGGACTAAGACATCCATGGAGACAACTACTTTCAACAATTTTTAGTTTCACTCTTTCTGCTAATTACTGTAATACATATATGTTATTATATATGTATATATATACATATCTTTTTTTTTTTTTTTTGACACAGAGTCTTGCTCTCTTACCCAGGCTGGAGTGCAGTGGTGTGATCTTGGCTCACTTTGGCCTCTGCTTCCTAGGTTCCAATGATTCTCCTGCCTCAGCCTCCCGGGTAGCTGGGATTACAGGCACACACCACCATCCCTGGCTAATTTTTGTATTTTTAGTAGAGATGGAGTTTTACCATGTTAACCAGGCTGGTCTTAAACTCCTGACCTCAGATGATCCACCTGCCTTGGCCTCCCAAAGTGCTGGGATTATAGGCGTGAGCCACTGAACCAGGCCTACTGTAGTTACATTTTATGTTTTATTTTCCCCCAACTTTTTATTTTAATTTTCAATAAAGATGAGGTCTCACTATGTTGGCCAGGCTGGTCTCAAACTCCTGGCCTCAAGGAATCTGCCCCTCAGCCTCCCAAAGTGCTGAGATTACAGACATAAGCCACCATACCCAGCCATTTTTTGTTTGTTTAGAGAAAAGGCATACAAATGTTATTAACATGTAAATGGGATGAGCACAGAGTGATTACCCCTGTGTCCCCAATTTATGATTTAAAAAAATTTTAAACTGGCTGGTTGTGGTGGCTCACTCCTGTAATCCCAGCACTTTGGCAGGGATTTAATCCACCGAGGCAGGTGGATCATGAGATCAGGAGTTCAAGACTAGCCTGGCCAACATGGTGAAACCCCATCTCTACTAAAAATACAAAAATTAGCTGGGCATAGTGGCAGGCACCTGTAATCTCAGCTATTCAGGAGGCTGAGGCAGAGAATTGCTTGAATCTGGGAGATGGAGGTTGCAGTGAGCCAAGGTCACGTCACTGCACTCCAGCCTGGGCGAAAGAGTGAGACTGTCTCAAAAAAAAAAAATCAAACTTAAAAGTTGCAAGAATGTACCTAGATTTACTTATCAACTGTTAACAATTTGCCATATCTGGCTTTCTCTCACTGTACATATATACAGATTTTCTTTTTTGCAGAATCATTTGAGGAACAGATGCAGACATAGAGACGTTTCTCCTCAAAATATGTCATCACCATGCTCCAAGAATTAAGTATATTTGGCTGGAGTGGTGGCTCGCACCTGTAATCCCAGCACTTTGGGAGGCTGAAGTGGGTGGATTGCTTGAGGCCAGGAGTTTGAGACCAACTTGGCTAACATGGTGAAACCCTGTCTCTACTAAAATACAAAAATTAGTCAGGCGTGGTGGCAGATGCATCTCAGTTACTAGGGAGGCTGAGGCATGAAAATTGCTTGAACCTGGGAGGTGGAGGTTGTAGTGAGCTGAGATCTCACTACTGCACTTCAATCAGGGTAACAGAGAGACTCCGACTCAAAAAAAGAAAAAAAAAGAATTAAGGCCTTCTCCCCTATAACCACAATATACTCCTCCCACATAGAAAATGTTATCACTGACATAATTATCTGATAAAATGTCCATATTCACTTGGACAATTCCATAATTGTCCAGTATTGTCTCTTTCAATTATTTCATCATTGAAATAGTTTTTTTCTTTTTTTGAGATGGAGTCTAGCTCTGTCACCCAGGCTGGAGTGCAGTGGTGTGTTCTCGGCTCACCACAACCTCCACCTCCCGGGTTCAAGTGATTCTCCTGACTCAGCCTTCGGAGTAGCTGGGACTACAGGTGCATGCCACCACACCTGGCTAATTGTGTGTGTGTGTGTGTGTGTGTGTGTGTGTGTGTGTATTTTTAGTAGAGACGGGTTTTTACCATGTTAGCCGGGATGGTCTCCATCTCCTGACCTTGTGATCCACCTGCTTTGGCCTCCCAAAGTGCTTGAATTACATGTGTGAGTCACTGCACCCAGCCAAAAAATTTTTTTCAATCCAGGATGCAATCACTCATCATACATGACACTGAATTTGTTATGTCTCTTCAGCCATATGTTTCTTTCATGACACAGATATTTTTGAAGGGTACAGGTCAGTTCTTTTGTAGAATATCCCTCATCTGGACTTGTCTGATTGTGTCCTGATGATTAGATTCAGAGTCTACATTTTTGGTAGGAGAACTACAGAGATGATGTGATATCTTTCTCAGTGCTGCTCACCAGTAGACACATGATGTCAGTTTGTCTTATCATAATTGATGCTGAGTTAGTTTGGTCATTTCCTTAAGGGGGTATCTGTCAGATTCCTCCCTTGTAAAAGTACTTTTTCCCCTTTGTCATTAATGAGTAATTTGTGAGGTGATACCTAGAGATCAGATGAGTACCCTGTTCCCCAACAATCGTTCACTCGGTTTTTTTTTTTTTTTTTTTAGATAGAGTCTTAATCTGTCACCCAGGCTAGAGTGCAGTGGTGTAATCTCGGCTCACTGTAACCTCTGCCTCTTGGGGTCAAACAGTTATCTGGAGGTCAGGAGTTCCACCTGCCTCAGCCTCCCAAAGTGTTGGGATTACAGGCGTGAGACCCATGCCCGGCCTCAGCGGTTTTATTATCCAGTGATGCTTCTAGCCTGGATCACTTATTACTATATGCTGCTAAAGTGGGATTTTAAAAATTCCATTACTTCTTTTATGCTTATTGGTGGGCACATTTCTTTTAAATATCATTTTTCCTTCTTTCCCTCTCCTTTAAAAAATTTAAAAATTTTTCATTTTTCATACTTTTATTTTTTATAGAGACAGGGTCTTGCTCTGTCACCCAGGTTGGCCTGCAGTGGTGTGATCATAGCTCACTGCAACCTTGAAATCCTGGGCTCAAGTGATCCTTCCGACTCAATCGCCCACGCATGCACTATCATGCCCCCAACTAGGTTTTTCTGTTTTTTAGGGACTGAATCTTGCTATGTTGCCCAGGCCAGGCTCAAACTCCTGGCCTGAAGCAGTTCTCCTGCCTCGGCCTCTCGAAGTACTGGCATTACAGATGTGAGCCACTGAACTTGGCCAAACATTTTTATTTTTAAATAGATTGGAACACACAGTTTATTTTAAAATGATCTGATGTGTTCTAATCTTGTTCTGTAATTATTTCAATACTGAAATAATTCCCAGTCTGGCCTGTGTGAGCCCTTTCCATTGGCTTCCTTGTCCTCTTCGCAGGTTATTGTCATTTTTTAGCACTTTCTTACTTTGCGGCACAAGACGCTCTAGGTTACTTCGCACTCTTCCTGCTTCAGCCCTGGTATCAGCCATCTCCCTTAGGAATCTTACATAGGAATTTTGATTGATTGATTGATTTTTGAGAGGGAGTCTCACTCTGTCGCCCAGGCTGGAGTGCAGTGGCATGATCTTGGCTCACTGTGACCTCCACCTCCTGGGCTGAAGTGATCCTCCCACCTCAGCCTCCTGAGTAGCTGGGACTACAGGTGCACCATTACACCTGGCTGTCACTATAATTTAAAATAACATAAGCTAGAGCACACTGCCTTCCTTTTATTGCTTTTTCCCTTTCCACTTCCCAAATTTGCTATAGTATTTTTCATTGTCAAGATTAATAACATGACATTTTGATGTGTGCCCATAAACTAGTCAATCCTTTGTGCTCATAGGTTGATTCTCAAAATTAAAAACCAATAGATGACTCATTTTATGATTTTATATATACAATATAATATTCCCTCTAGAACCAAATACACATTGGGTCTCAAATTTTAGTAGATATGAATCTGTTCTGAAGTGGGTCAGGACCTGGGCTCAGCTGAGATGGAGTCACCATGCAGACCAGGGAGGGCAGAGCAGAACCCCGAGTGGGAGGAACCCCAGTGGGGGGGTGTGGAAGAGCAGCTCTCCTACCCATCCTGCACGGATCCAACAAAGGCCCCTGACGACTCCAGCTACATCCCTGGCACAGTGTGGGGAGGGTGACAGGGGTCACTCAAGGGACCCATCAGCAAACACAGAAAGACGAAATCTTATCTTCCACTCAGCAGATATGACTGTGAACTCTAACTAATGAGATCTGGGAAGAGGTCCTTTCCTCTGAGGAGTCTCCCTGTCCCCACCCACCTTCCAGGAACTAAGAGTCTACTCCTCCCACCTCTGGGGTCCCTCTGGGATCTGCCCAGCCCTTGATCTGACTCAGAACATAGGAATCCAGGCATTTTGTCCCCAGGGTATTTCCTCTGTTTGGCTGAGTTCCTGCAGGGCAGGCCCAGTGCCTCATTTCTCTCGGGGTCCAGCCCAGAGTCTGGCCCAATAGACACCAGCAAAGGTTTGAAGAATGAATGAAGCTGGAATTGAGCTGAACCATGGATAGACAAAGGAGGAAAAAGGAAAGCATTTCAGAGACAGAGACAGGAACAACATGGCTGGAAAGATATGGCACACATGACCAACTGCCTCGAAGGACAGAAGCATCTGGCTTGGGAGGGAGGTTGACATTTGCGCCAGTCCTCTCTCTCTCTCTCTCTCTCTCAAACCTTTCCTATGGTGCCGAGCCTGTGCTCCCTCAAACATCTGCCACAGTGTTTTTGAGTCTGGTCCTCACATCAGCCCTGAGAAAAAGATGTAATTATTCCCATTTTATTGATGAGACAACGGGGGCTCAGAAAGTGGCTAAGCAGGAAGAAAAATAGGCCTGCCTGATTCCCAAGCCTAAAGAAGTAAGTGGTTGGAGTTTGTAGCCCTAAAAGTGGGCATAGTTTGAGGGGTCCTGGCCATACAACATGTCACCAGCCTCTGTCCCGAATAGAAGGCAATGGCATATGAATGTGTCATGATCCCATAGTGTGGCTCTTGTGCTGACTCAGGTAGAAACAGGAATGAATGACAGGTGGTTTATACCTGCAGCCCTTTACATACACAGCTGCTCACGCCCTGTGTGTCCTGCCTCCCTTGCCCCACTGTGGACTTTGCTGGTCCTCCCAGTGATCCCTA